GCAATAGCGTTTAAAAGCATCCCAGGATGCACCTCGATAAGTTGGCTGAGTTTTAAACAACGAAGAAAGATTTCATTTTCAGCTTTCACATGTTTTGGTCACTATCATCCACATGCTTCCATCTAATAATGGTTTCATTATTATTGTGCAGTGTATAAATTAGTGATAGGCCTCATAAAGAATGAGGAGATGTGTCTAAACCTTTGGCTGATAAACTATTTCTAAAGAACCTGTTATGATTAAAAGATTCTCACATGCATTTTCAAAACACAGTTCTTTGAGGAGCATAAACAAAAAGGCAATTCAGCACTAATAATTTGGAAATATTTTCTCGTGCAACCAAAGTTGGGGGGATTTTGCTAACTTTATTTATTCTGGTATGGCCTATAAATACTATTAAGTTAAGGAATTAAACGCATGTTATTATTAGATAAATGTTGCATGGATTTTCTTTTAACACACTTTCATTTTTCCCCCCAGATTTTCCGCCATAAGCATGGAGTCAGAGCAGCTGAACTCACTGGAAGGAGCGACACGAAAACAATGGCGAAAATGAGGATTATAAAGGGAAACTTCTGGAGCATCATGACGTCGTTGCAAGCACTTACAGTAGTGAAGTACGACATGCGAGCAGGAATTACAGTCACATCTGGGCTGTTGTGACGGGGAATGTGGAAAACATGTGCTTCTGTCGAGCAACAGAGACTCACTGCACATTTGACGTGTCGTCATATTTATTTCTGAAAGTAAGAAAGAACAGAATCGGCTCATATCTGCGTCAACACTTTCTTTGACTGGTCCTAGAAAAGACATTTATTTATTTATTAATGATTGTCAATGCAGAGAGATCTGGTGTCTACATGCATTTACGATGTAAATATGTGTATATTTTCTGCAATAAAACATGGTTTGAAACGTACCTATTTTAGCATGTTGTTATTGCAGTTATGCAATAGTATGAAGGGATTTCAAAAATACATTAAAAAAAAACGAAAAGTAGTTTGTATACGCAGAAACATCTGCAATAATCATTCGATGAGATTTTAAAAATAAAAATATAGGTCTTGCCGGGATTTTATAAATTATCTTTCCGTTGTTATAAATTATGTTTATAAAAAAAAATCGTTCTAATACTCAGCTCATTTATACTGCAGTTTTGTTTTTCTA